AGCCTCATACCCATCTTTCGACCAAGGAAAGTGCGAAGAAATGAAATTGAGAAAGTTATAACAAGGTGATACCAGCAATTAAAAAGGCAGAGGTCCTGCCCTGTCATGATGTGCAATGCGGAACTTACCGGAAGTACAAAATAAATAACGAGATTGAAGTGAATAGTTTGTTGAAGCTTCTCCAAGATTACAGCACTTATTGGGCTTACATTTCGGCCTTTTCGTCCTCCGTAAAAGCATCAAAATCGGGAAACACTTAAGACCGATCACCTGCTAGGCTGGAGAATTAGAGAAGCTTTAGAAACAGCTTACTTCATTCCGTCTATGCCAAGATTAGGGACTATGTCTATCTTATCTTAGACTGAATAGGGAGATTTTTCACTCATCATCATTTGGAGGGATTTCTGTACCAGTTCGAGAGGAATTTAGAATGAAATAATGAAAAAAGTATCAATTGGAATGAAATATTGCAAAGGGATGGTTTTTGAAGGAGACAGAGATTGAATGAGAGATAAAAATAAAAATAAAGTAGTGCAGAGGTGCGAAAAAATAGAAAAAAGTGGAGTTGACCTGGAATTGGAGTTCTCGAGAACGTCGTTCCTGTTTCGTCAAGCCCTTGACGGCTTCTTGATGGCGACGTGCTTCGGCATGGTATGCAGCGGAAACCTGGCGCACTTTCTCTTCAACCTTGGACAAGGCTTTCTGGCCGACTGAAAGATTTCAAGGCTTATCGCTGACAAAGTATAGTTCAGTACTTTAACAGACATTGAAGCATGGCTCTCTCGGCGTCTTCGATCTTGGCCTGCAGTTCTTTCGCTGTAGCTTCGAGTCCTTTCCGATGTCGTTCCACGTGGAGGCAATGTTCCTGTTCCTGTCGAACTTCTTCGGCCAAACGGTCGGCATCAGAGGCTGCCTAGAAAAGGAAGGATGAGTTTTGACACTGCGTGCCTTTCATCTATACTATGATCCGAGTCATTCATACCTTGCGAGGAGCGTTCCTCGGAAGCCTTGAGTTCATTGAGGCATTCATCGAGTTCGTTCTGGAAGCAAAATAATGTTCTTGTGAAACGTGTGAAATGTGTTCAAGCAAAATGTTCATGTGAAACGTGAATCCAAGAAGCAACTTACCCTGGCGATTTGGACATCGTTTTCGACTTTTCGCTTCATAGCGGTAAGGGCGGCATTGTTAGCGATGAGTTCAGTGTTCTGCGATTTCAGGTCGGCTTGGTCCAACTCCAGCTGACGTCTCGACTGTAACACGAGTAATGATAAAAAAGGATAAAGCATTTGCCGTTGATCAATCCCTTTTTGGGATGCGGCACGCATTCTACTTCCATTTGTACATTCGTAGTGGCGTTTGAATGCGATGTGGCCTATACAATGACTTGCGGGGGCCAGCCGATGTACAAGTCAGTGTTTTTATCCTCCCAGACAAGTCTGGTACCAATTAACCGACCCCGGAGGGATGGAAGGCTTGATGCGGCTACTCACGCATTATGAA